CAACTATTTAAAGGGGCATTGAAGGCATGAATTCAAGACTCACTTGTGTATGGTCAACAATTCAAAGTTATATAGTCATGTTTGAAGTCAGAAATCTTTCATGCATACTTTAGGAATTTCTCTGCTACATGTGAAAAATAACCGTGCATATAAAAAATTGTTGTGATCATAGATACGTGAAAAGAAAACAAACCAAAAACAATTGCGTAAAAACACAATAATCACTTTCAAATCTCTTTGCAACAGATACGAAATTCACATTAATCTAGCAAATCCTCTCTTTCATCTTTTAAAAAAGAGCACAAAAAAAATCCTTTAAGTCATCGCTCCCTATTCTCCTTCAAAAGTAATTCATTCCAAAAGAGAGAATGGATTGTTTATGCAAACAGCCGACCCAATAGCATTTTTAGTCTCATTTCGCGTGTTTTATGCTAATCCGTGCTTTTGTTGTAATGATTTATTATTATCAACTAATTGCTGATATATCTCGGTTGGACTAATGAAAAATGAAAAATATTTATGGAAACAAAAAAAATACATCAACACTTAATATATACCTAAAAAAAATAAAAAAATAATAGACCTATAAGACATATAATGTAATTAGAAAATAACTAAAAAGAAAAACAAATATACTTTTTAAGTATAGGCAAAATTAGGATGCTGAATAGGTTTTTTCACAATTGCAGCTTTCAATATGTTTTGTTGTTGGATCTGTTACACCTCCCCCTAATTCGCGTATGCTTCTGATGACTATGACTCCATTTTGTTCACTTTTTCTTTAATGTCGTTAGTGAGAGAGTGTAACCTTTCCTTTACTTTCCCTTTTTTAGCACTGTTAAAGCAATATATATATATATATACAATTTTGAAAGGCTCCCACGGCCCTATGTTTTAAAAAGGCTCATGTTTTCCTGTCTATTTTATAACTTGCTAAATCTACAATTTTCATTCATTGTTTGTCCTCCATAAGCTTTCTTACTTGTAAGTTTTTGTTTTGGATGTTAGATTTGGCAAAAAGTATGGTTGGAGGTGAGGCTATTGTAGATCTTTGAGTGAGTTCCCCCTTTTTGCAAGGATTGAATGAGATATTAGATCTCCTGTTCATCAATCCAATAAATGTGAAGTGATTTTCACGATTCTTTTATTATAATATGTAAATGCATTTTGGACTATGTAATTTATAAACATTTATAAATACAAAATATTTCTGGATTATTTAATCAAAAATGTATTTTAAATTAAAAATTTAAAATACATTTACATTATAGAATTAAAAATATAATTCAAATTGTATAATTCATAATTATTTTTAAACATATTTCAAAATTGTATAATTTATAATATAATTTTAGATTATGCAATCGAAAAACACATTTCAAATTATTCAATCGAGAAGCATATCAAGCAATGTATAATCTGTCCGGATTGATGAATAAAGATTATCTGAGTTAAGAAATAATAAAAACGTGAAATAAACTTCATATAAACTTATTATTTTTAAGAAAAAGCTTATAATTTTTCCATGTGTTTTTTTATCTTTATTTTATTGTTTTATTTTATTTTATTGTGTTTTATTTTTATTTACTTATTTTAGTTTTTATTATAATTTTTATTTTTGATTTTGCTGGGAGGAACCCCTGTGCGTGCAGGCATGAAAATGCATGAATGTGATGTGATTTTGCTTTATATTTGTCATGCCCTTTCTGTTTTGTATTTATACATTCTCACCTTTGTTTGATTTTTGGAATAATTTCATGTGATTCTTTCCACTTGTTCGTTGTATTTGAGATGTTTTTTTTATATTGAGCCTTAGGGTAGATAACATGTGTATATCTATCTGCATGAGAATCTTTTTTGGTTATTTTGCAAGTGAGAGTTTTTGTGCATTGCTTTCTCTTCACACACACATTATGCATATTATGAGTAGGCCCTATACCCAGGTCTGAGTGCAACTTAAAATGGCGGGGTTGTGTAGCGGTGCCACTTGGGGCATACTTCTTGTTTGGCTATCGTGAGAACCCCAATTAGAGTTTATTCTCTTCATTTGTGTCTTCGCACCTAATTTGTGGAGGTGCTATGAAGGAGGCTATAACTCTAGTGACCTTGATCTTTAGGTTTTGAAAGCCATCCTCGTGAGATTTCATATACTCTTCCGTACACCCTGTAATTGTCGAACCTCTATTAAGGCATAAGGGAGAAATATATATTCTTATAACTCTCACACTATTTTTTTTTAAATAACGATTTTGCATTTTCATAATATGTATGCATTTTGTCAGTCATGTTGTTTTACTTCTTTATATCTTCATGCATCACTTACATTCATCATATGCTGGGTTTTAGGGAAAATCACATGTTTATTTGCTTGGTCTCATCCAAGATGGAAGTTAATGCAAGACCCTATGCTACACAACAGACTGATTATGCCATGTTGAGAAAGAAACCTCGTCTGAAAACTCATGGCGGAAACCTAACAAGGCTGATAAACTTAAGCAAATAATTGAAGACCATAAGGAGAGATTCCTTCAAGAAGAAGTATGGCAACTTGTTGAGTTTGATGGAAGTGGAAGTACAATTGCCTGCCATCACGACCCTTGTACAATATTAAGATTCCCAGCTCAAGTGCTTCACATTTTAGAATTTCCAGTTGGCGCCGAATGTAGAAGAGTTTGAGCATATCCTAGGCTTACCACTAGAAGGTACTACTCTTTATCATCACTTGGAGCATCACGCCTCTATCTCCACCGTTGCTACCATTATGAAATTACATCCTAAAGACTTGAGGATAGGTTGGTAATGAGGAACCAGGTACGCGGACTTACGCAAGGATATCTGGAGATATATTTGCATCATCTAGTGGATAAAGAACAGTGGGAGACCTTCACGGACGTGCTAGCCCTTATCGTGTATGGCGTTGTTTTGTTCCCCAAGATAAAAGACTTTGTGGACTATACTGCAATAGATGTCTTCGTGGCGAGAAAGACAAAATCAGAGAATCCTGTAACTACAGTCCTCGCAGAAATTTATGGGACAATAAGTTTTTGCCACAAGAGAAAAGTGAAGAAAATTCTTTGTTGTTTGCCACAAGAGTATAAGTCCAAAAAGTCTTCTACATTCTTCCTTTGAGAGGTGTTGACATTTTTTTGGGCGCGCCCTGGCTCAAATCTATTGGGCCTGTCCTCATGGACTACACCCAACTTACGATCTCATTTACCCACCAAGGCCAACCCATCATATTAAGGGGGATCCAACACAGTCACATAGACCCAATGTCTAGCCCACAACTCAAATGGTGCATCCAAACTAACAATGCATCTAATCTTTTCACAATACAAATCATACCCATACACGAACCCACCACCACAAGCTCACCGCTCCACACCACTTCCCTACCACCTGACATCACTACACTTCTCCTCTGTTTTGACCACCTCTTCTAATCACCACCATCATTACCTCCCTCTTGCCCAACTGAACACCGTATCCACCTCCTTCCCAACTCTATGCCGGTAAACATTAAGCCCTACCGTTACCCCCATTCCCAGAAAAGTGAACTTGAAAAACAAGTAAAAGAGTTGCTTGACAAGGGCATGATCCAACCAAGTAGGAGTCCGTTTTCTTCACCGGTCCTACTAGTTCGCAAAAAAGACGGGTCCTGGCGCTGTTATGTCGATTATAGGGCTCTTAACGCCGTCACTGTTCGTGATCGCTTCCCATTGCCTACCATTGATGAGTTTTTGGACGAGCTTGGTGGTGCAACATGGTTTTCCAAACTCGATCTTCGACAAGGCTTTCATCAAATCTTGATGCATCCTAATGATATTGCTAAGACAACATTTCGTACACACCAGGGACATTATGAGTACCGAGTGATGCCTTTTTGTCTCTGTAATGCGCCTTCAACGTTCCAAGCTACCATGAATACCCTCCTCGACCCATTTCTCCCTCGATTTGTTGTTGTATTTTTCGACAATATCCTAGATATATCATTTCTGTTGCAGGGGTTCAACCTAGCCCGTCCAAGATTCAAGCAATATTGGCTTGCCTTTCTCCTTCCAACGTCAAGGCTCTCCGTGGCTTTCTGAGCCTTACTAAGGATGCCTTTTCATGGACTCTTATCTATTTCAAGGATCCCCTTAGCCATCAAATAAGAAAGTCAAACCTAACAGGATTCCAGGGTGAACTCATGGAGATACAGGGGACTTATGATAAAAGGACAAAATCTATGGTTTAGGATAGAAGAAGATTTGAGAGAAAAGATAAAAGAAAAAAATTAACAAAAACTCTGAAGTTCTTTACCTCATATATGACTTCCGCTTAATTAATAAAATATATTTTAAGACATAAACATTTTATATTTATTTAATAATATTTATTATTATTATTTTTATAAATATAAAAATTCTTATGACTCTTTTATTCTTATAATACGAGGTTAGATAAATATTAATATGTCTTACCATATTATTATCCTAATCAATATTATATTAAATTTGTTCCTTTTACATGACTTTACTGTAATGAAAAAAAATTAAATAAAATTATGTTTGTATTAAAGGACTTTTTCAACAATAGATTATATTTATAAATTAGTAACTTAATATATAAATTAGTAATTAATAGAAATATGGTCACATATAGTCTTTTTTTTATTTTTTCTAAATATATTCTTCTAATATAATTATATAATATATATTATTTTGTCGAACACGTTACTTTTACTTTTAAAAATATGTGGATTTTAGTAAGCACTATAATATTTTAATAACTTTTTTAAATAATAAATTTTTGACAATAATGTATCACTTAAGTATCACTGTTTCATTAGTCTGTTGTAAAAAATTTTCTAAAAAAATTGTTAAAAGACATTTTCGTTTTAGTAATTTGTTAATAAATCCACCACCTTAGTAGTCATTATTTCAAATCCAACCAACCAACCAACGTTCATTTCGTTACTTGCGACCCAAGACAGACCAAGCACGCAGGAGCATGACTTTAGGTAAGGAACACATAGCTGACATGTTATTTATTCCGTACATAATACATGTCTAAGGTAGTTGTCGTACCTTTCAACTACCTAGTAATCTAAGACGCGGTTCAACGCCTTGGACACGCACCGGTAAATTGCGTCGGAAACGGACGCCACAGACACCTGCAACTTAGATTTAATCACATTGGGCAGTATGCTATTACTGTAACCGTTCTGAAGATCGCGGTATCTATCCCACAGCATCACTCCCCCGTAGTTGGGGGCTTGCTTCGCGTGCGGAAGCACCTGGGTGTTGAGTACCTCCGGCGAAATGTAACCATTGCCGGCGCTGGGCGCTGCTGGCACGCCAACGAAGAGCGAGTTGTTGGAGGCGACCAAGCTTACCCACTTGTCCCAGGAGTTCAAGATACCGGGGATGCCATTGACGTAGGAGCAATTAGGGTTGTTGTAGAACTGAACGAAGATGTAGTCGAAGAGTTCGGTGGCGATGGCTTTGCCGAGATAGTAGATTGGGTCTGTAGGGCACTGAGGGGCTGCCGACAAGTAAAAGTAACGCCCTGTCGTTTGTCGGAAGTAGTCGAGTTCCCTGGCAAGGTTGTCCCAGTAATCCTCCGTCCTTTCGATGTCGAAGTCGACGCCGTCCAGCGTGACGCTTCCCACTGGACCGTAATTGCCGCTTAGGAAGTTGGTGTAGATGTAGTTGGCCACCTCCTTTGCATCCTCCGGCGAGCTTATTGAGTAGTTTGGACTGTCTCCTCCAATTGAAAGGAGCACTTTGATGCCTTTCCCCTGTAACCAATACACAATACATAAACAATGAATTATACTGGTGGTTTGAACATGATTTGAGACTGGAGAAGTAAAATTTTCTGAACTCTACCTGGCAGTATTTTATTTCGGACTCTAGTTCAGTGCAATGTTTCCAGGCACCATTGTCGCAGTGACCGGCGAAGTTCCAAGCTGGGGTTCTCCCTGCACCGAACTGGGTGAGGAAAGCGAGGAGCACAATTTCATAGTTACCAGTGTCACATGTGGTTGTCAATGTGCCTTCGTTAAGGTTTTGCCCCCAGTACACGGCGATGCCACCATTGTCAGCGCGTGAGGAAGAGAGCGTGGAAAGGGTTAAGAGAAGTGTGATCAAAGCTAGTCTTTGAGTCGCCATTGCTTTCTGTTATTGCTTTCTTGTGAGTGTAAGAGAACTAGAACCTACCTATTTATACTGCCAAAACCTTGTTCAAACAAATGGTATCAATGATTATTTCCTTTTTGCCTCGATCACGTTTCTCCTAGGAGAAAAAGCATTAATCAATCAAAAAGCTTTGCATTTTTGGTTGAAATGTGTCATTATTTAACTTGGAGTCTACCTCTCTACACCTCCTCTCCTTTTCTCCCATATATATCTCTAAAATTACAAATGTAGCATTTTTATTAATTTTTTTTTAAGTTTTTTCTTCTATAATACGACACTCTTTTTATTTCTTTAAAAGTTCAATAATTTTAGAAAATTTGAAATATATTTTTTTCTTAACTCGAAAGTTAATAAACTCTTAATTAAATTTTAAAAGTTAATTAAAAAAAACATATTTTGAAATGTTAAGAAACAAACATATTTCAAAATATAAAGAAATTATATTTTAAAATAGATTTATTCCTTAAATATTTTTTAAAAAATATATTAAATTTAAAATAACAAAAAAATAAAATAACAAATAATAAATTTTAAAAAATTAAAATAAAACAAACAAAAAAATTAACAAAATTTCAAAAAAAATAATAATCAAATACAATTATAATATTTAAAATAATCAACTAAAATTAAATTAAACAATTATAAATAGATAACAAAAATCAATATAATTTAAAACAAAAAAATTATTTTAACAATAATTATTAAATATTGCAAATTTATTAAAAAAACAAAACATTAAATTAACAATTAAAATTAAATAACCAAAAACATACAATTTAAAATAAAAATAAAAAAGTAGTTATTTTATTTATATTGATTTTTGTAATTTTAGAGACAGGGAAGAAAGATGAGAGGTAGAAGATAAGCAATCGTACCTTAAAGCATTAATGCAGCAATTCGTATTCTTTTTTGTTTTAATGTGTTTGGAGTCCACTTCTTTAAGTATTCCGGATTCTAGGAAGTTTTTTCATTTTTAATTCTTAAAACTTTTATAATTTTACAATTTTATAATTTTACAATTTTACAATTTTACAATTTTACAATTTTAGTTGTCAGCTTACTACCTAATTTTACTACAGTTTAATTTAAAAAATTTAAATTAATCTTATTTCTTACAAAAAATCAATAAATAATGATTAATTTTAGAGACAAAAATAATTAATTATTATAATAATTAATTTATATATTAATTTATAAATTAAAATTTAATGACATTTAAATTATTTTTTACTATAAATAAAAATTTATAATTAATTTCTGTACTAAAATCTAAATTAGTCTCTAAATTAAAGACTAATAAGATATTAATTTTTTTTACATTTAAAATATTGGTAAGCAATATTAGATTAATTTAGATTTTCATCTATAAATCAATTATAATTTTTTATTCACAATTAAAACTATTTAGATACTGTAACATCCCAAAAATACAGTATAAAACTATATCACATATTAATAATACTACAGATCAGTCTTACAAAAGATAGGACATACGTTTATGGCCGAACGACCTTACAGAATAACGAGAAAGTTAAAATTGTACAAATAAGCAATCTAGACCGAACAGTTTACAAAAGACCTATATCGAATGGTCATACAAAAGAAAGAGGTAAAAGATGATCGAACGGTCATCGTACAAATAAACTAACTACTGACCGAACGGTTCTACTGTTTGGTCTTAACTTCTACCTCGACCAAACTTTCTTCTTCTAGCGCTTCTTCCAGCAGTTCTTCTCCTTCTGCTCACATTCACACGAATGATCATTGCGACAGGACAATAACCGAATGTACCAAACGGACAAGACAGGAAGATAGGGTAAGCTTATGTAATTTAATTCATGTATCAGCATATATTTCACACAATCAACTAAACAAGATAAATCATTAACTCCTTCATGCAAAGCCTAATACTAGACTCTGACTGTCCGGACTGTATGAATTTTGTGTAGCTACGACGTTCGTGCACCTGGGTGATGTAGTAACTAGGATACCCTCAACAGTTGCCACCCGAGGTTAGTCCTATCTGTCCAAATTAACCATAAGGACTAGGACCTCCTGCCATTCCCACACATGACTTACCCTTCTCTACGTGAGAACGAGTAATCATAGAATATCAAGATAAACCGCCAGCTTAGCTTTATCCATATTCATACTTTACCAATTTCCAATATTCATTCATGAGATATTCCACCCCGGAATACTCTTTCATATTCATACTCATTTAATCTACATCATATTCCATCATCTTTCATTTTCAAAACCTCAAATCGAACCAATTTGAATACAGATCCCATAGGATACCAAATACCGACCGTTAATCTTCAACCCCGAACGAGACCGAACACTTGGAGTGAGACCAAGAGGTCTCTAGTTCCAAAACAGATCAAAACCGAGAGAGAGTTACTATCGGGGTTGAGAAAGAGACCGATTACAATAATATTTCTCAAAGACTAATAGAATCGAACGTTATTTACAAGGTGAGCCAACTTAATGAACTGACTCTGAGAGTTTAGACCGAACGCCAATAAGCCTAGGCCGAGTACTAAGACTCTAGGCCGAACACCATAGAAACTGATACTGTAGGACATCGAATAATAATAAGTGACAAAATTATATGAAGAAACCGAACACTATAAATACTTAGCTTATTTATGAGTTTAACATCAAGGAGAATGAGTGCTAGTCGAAGACCGAGCACTGTAGAGACCGAACGCTATTGGTTTTGGCCGAATGCTCTTATTTAAAAATTAAATTACAGAATCAAAGTCGAGCGCTTGGTTTAAGACCGAGCATCACTTAGTACGAGCACTTGGTGTAAGACTGAGCACTACTAAACTTATAGAATAAAGGCTTGATAAATATAAGATACCATTTAACTAGTGTTCAAGAATGAACAAAATATACAAATACATATAGATATACTGAAGTTTATAACCAAAATGAAAACACTCGGTCCTCAACTAGAATTCTCTCCAAATGACAGAATTCAGTTCCAACCGAGTCCACAAGAAAATCGAATGGTCAATGACCTTTAATGACGAACATCAATTTTCACATAGAAATACAGACTTAGAATTCATACTCTTATTAATACATTCCTTAGCATTTATCTTCATACATTCATACAGCCAAAACATAGTAACAATTATACTTCATATTTCATCCAACAATCAAACAAGCATGTCAGCATTCAAAAACGAGAATAAAAATCAAATTATATAAGCTTCCCTTACCTCTTAACGTGACCGAACGCTCACAGATATGGTTACTGTTTCACCTCTACAAATCCTTCTACCCTCAACGCTCGACAACTTCCGAAACTAAACCAAACAGAAAATCCAGAAACTCTCAGAACAAGATGATTGATTTATGCAATCCCATAAGCTAGGTTTGCATGTACCAGGAAACCACATGGTTGAGGGAGAGATGAACTTACCAGCTCAGAATCGAAAACTGATCCGTTCAAACGAACGTCCTCGACGCTGGGAATGCTTAGGTGTGGTTTGTTTGATGATCGGAGGAAGAAAAGAGTAAGATTTTGTAAAGAGAAGATTAAGAAATCTTAGAGAGAATGAGGAGAAGAATGGAGTTTCAGAAGGTTGAAGAAGATGGTTGCATGTAGAGAGTGGCGTGAATTTTTGAAAACTCAGAGTTTTACTCCTACCGTCAAAATCGAACGACCACTCCACTGCTCACACCTGTCTTCCACTTTCTGTTTTTCAGCTCCCCTTCCTCGACACTTGTCTTCCATTCAGCTGGGTTTTAGGTGGATTTTTAATTGGTCTGACAGATACCAAAACTTTTTAATTTATAAATTAATATTTAAATTATTTAATATACTGACTAATTACTTTATGTTTTTAAAATTAATTTTTATTTAATGATTTTTGCAAAGGGTTTTAGAAAGTTTCAAATTATAATTTATATGAATTATTTTAAGTGATTTTGATCTTATTTTTAAATATTTTTCTATTAATTTAATATTTTTACATATTTTTAATCTTATAAAAACATCGTTACCCATTGTATTGTATTTTGTAATGTCCCAAATTTTAGAGTGTCACAGATTATTAGAAAAATCAGTAATTTTCAAAACTTCCTTATAACACGGAAACGTCTTTTCAAAAATCTCAGCATTTAAATTGACATCGCATAATAGTTTCAAAATACTTGTACAATTGCATTATTTAAATAAAAACAAAACAACAAAGGAAATAAAATATCTCCAATTACATTGTCTTAAAAACTCAATTGCAATAGCTTTAAATAAAACTCAAGTATGTACCAGTCATCTCACGGATCTATCATGTTTTATCTTCATCTGTAGCATCATCTTCTCCCATATAACATCACACATTATATGATCATCGCATTCACATGCACAAACACAAACATGTATGGGGTAAGCTACCAATAAAACAATCATAATAATAAGATACATACATAATGATTATATAAATAATAATAAAACATTCCATACATATAAGTAATAACAATAGAATTCCTAAACCTCTAACCCAACAATCAATCATGATAAATTACTAAATCCTCAAACCTCGATCCTCGATCATCACATATCTAGACCGTAGTTTATCCGTTCACCAACATTATGTTGTCTACACCACATAATCCCATTACTATCAATATAGCATTCGAGCATCATCGTTATAGATACACCTACTCATGACTATCCTAGTCAAGAACAACATCATGATCGTCACCGTACCATAATATCATAGTGGAAAAAGTTCATCTCACTCATGGACCCTACCTCATTGAATGTAGTCGCTCCTATAGTCCACTCCCCTACAAGACATCTGTAGCCTCTCATTTCCAATGCACACATGGCAAAAGGAAGTACCTATACGCAAATAAAACCATGATTTACAAGGTACAACAAGTAGACTTATCCTCCACTCTCATGCCCATCAATGACATACTCGGGGTACATCTCAACACTCACTCATGCTCCACTCTCAACCACAAGTCAAATTGACCCTAAACATAATCAC